ACATGTGGGCGGGCATGAATCATTCCCTGTGATGTCGGTCGGTCGGTCGGTCGGTTGGTCGGGTCTGACTTTATCAAATCTGATGATCTAATGCGTTGATGCTCAACTTTAACTGTGGCCGTGTGGCTCCCTGCAAATAACTGTTATTTGGAGCTAACGAACAGAGGAGGGAGGAGTTGGGTACGTCGCTCCAGCCACTCGCAAAGCCTTCCTGTAATACAAACCTCAAACTTTGGCAAACAAAACTTATTTGACCAACTTTGTGCTTCCAGTGTGTGTGCCACTGGATGACTGTTTGCCCGTTTACTTGTAACTGTGTGCGTGTGTGTGTGTGTGTGTGTGTACGTGAGTGTTTTTGGGTGTTGCCATCGTCGGCGTGTTGAGCATACTTATAATGAGAGGAGGGCCAACGAGTTTCGCCTATAATTAGATGCACGTACAACGCTTTGCCCCACATTCGTCGCCGATGCCCCCCTCGGTTCGTGTGTGCTTGTGTGTGTGTGAGTAGGCGTGGCACTTACCGTACAGCTCTCCTCATCCCATCGAAATTTGCAATTGTCTAGGCCATTACATTCCAAATCCTTTGATATGCAGGTCGCGTCCTCGCAATCGTATTCGTCCTCGGTGCAGGCTGTCGGAATGGAGCACCCAGAAAAAGTGCATCCAAGCAGCAGAGGGAGACGGAGAGGCGGTGAGGCGGTGAGGCCATAGAAAGAGAGACAGTTGTGGAGTTAGAGAAAGTTGTACAAATATTTGGCGCACAATGGCAGCTAAAGCGAGAGAGAGAGAGAGTGGCAGAGGGAGAGGGACTGTGTGTCTGTGAAAGAAAACAGTGCCAAAATGGCAATCAAAGCAGCAATCGTGGCAGCACAGTGGAATGGACAATTGATTCCAATTGAAATGGTTTTACACCCCAAAGCAAGCAAAACGGACCAAAGGTCCTGCATGTACATAGGTGCTGAAAGGCCTCATCAAACTCAAACTCAAACTCAAACTGAAACTGAGACTGAAACTCCTTTCAATGGCCAATTCCAAGTAATTTCGGATAATGGAAAGGGTTCAGCATTCCCTGAACATGAGCTCCCTTCACACTTGCTTCTTAAATGGCATTTAATTATGAAATTGGCTTTACTTGCCCTCCATCCTGCCAGCCTGCTTCGACTTTAAAGTCCGTTTGATTAAATATTAATTCAAAATTCATTTAAGTGAGACTTGAGTTGAGTTCCAAGTGCATTACTCAAAGCGAAATACGTTTCCGATTTGTACATAAATGTTGACATATAAATATGTACACATTTATGTATTTATGTAGGTGCATATGTGGACAGATTTCAGGCCTCGAATTGATGAAGCTCTCCACGCCGCCAGCCCCACAGTGCGGTGCGACGATGGGCGATTGTAGCCACAGGGCAAGTGCACGTAATCTCGAACATAAATCGCTCAGGCAACAACAATAATTGCCGATGCTGGCAGTGTTGGTACCTACTACTCGTGCGCCATGCGGCAAGTGCACAGAGCAGAGAGGCAGCAGAGATGGATCTGGAGTGGTAGATGTTGGACGGAGCTCGAGGAATCGATGCGGAGTCTGCCTAAAAGTAAACAATGCTGGCCCCAGGACAAAGGACAATCGTTGAATGACAAAAGAGTGCTTAGCCTTTGCCTTTGCCTTTGCCTTTGCCTTTGGCAACTGGCGGCAATCACGCTGAACCCTGTGCGACAAACAAACAGACAGACAGATAGACAGACATATAGATGGATAGATAGAAGGCAGGGGAGACTGGGAATGGGGAATGGGGAATGGGGATATGGTGGATGACAGAGTCAGATAGTTGGTTAGACAAGAGACTTCCACTTTCGACTCTGTTTCAGAATCGCACTCGTACATGGCACTGCCAAATGGGCAGCCGAAAAAAAGCAGGGAGAGAGAAGGGAGACGGCCGCTGGATTTGGGGTGAGCTTAGCACCGGATTGCCCCTAAGGATTTCGGTCATGCCTTTGTACGTTTGCGCCCGGTCATTTGTTGCCAATTCAAGGGATTTGGCATCATCAAAGCAGCCAAACGGATGGCCAGGACTTACCAGCGCCACGATCCCGGAACGCGGTGTACAGAATGCCGAATGTCGAATTAATCGCGATTTGATCTGCATAAAAACGCAAGTGCAAAATATTTGACTCCGCCGTAATGCTCTCGCCCGCCGAGCCGCAAAAGTTTTTCACCCTGCCAAAGAGAAAGAGAAAGAGAAAGAGAAAGAGAAAGATGTTGTTAATTGTCTGCTGTCAAAAGTATTTCTCTGGTAGTCGTCAGTCTCCTTGCCCAAATCAGCTCTTGGGCATAGTGCAAAATTTGTATTTGCCATCGATGGCAGATCCTTAGGTCGATAAATAAATAATTTATAATATGGCTTAAGCGATGGCGTTCACTGAACATGGTATTTATGTTCGTTTGCTCTTCTGTCTGCACATTTCACGCTATGCTGACAGTTTCTGTGGTTGCCCCAGAAAGTATGCTACGAAATGGCAACGTTCGTGTTATCGTGTGTGGGGTGGCTGCCACCCGTCGTGTGCTATAAATTGTTACGAAAAATGAATTTAAATGAAAGCTGAATGGACGAGCGAAAGCCACAGGAGCAGCCGCAGCGACAGCAACAAAGGCATCAAATCAATGGCCATGGCTGACTGTAAAGACAGAGAAAAGTTTCTGCTTCTGCTTCAACCTTGCTTCCTGCCAGCGGCGCCATTTTCCCATTTTCCGAGAGCCGAGAACGCCAGTCAATCAATTTGAGTGTTGTCCCGAGCATCTGGAGCAGCAACAAGTGGGAAATGTATTGGCGCGTTAAAAGCGGATGTCAATGCGTGTCGAAGATGGAGGAGCAGCCAGCCAGCCAGCCAGCCAGCCAGCCAGTCTGCCTGGGAGTCAGTCATCCAGTTTGCCATCCAGCGGGCAGGGCAGGGCAGGACAGGGGGCAGGGATGTGCGAGTCAAAGGCGCCCGCCACTTCCGCTGTCGAACAATTTACTTTTGGCCGGCAATAAATTGAAAATTTGCCTGGGCTTTGATCTCTTTGCTTTTTGGCAATGCGGAAATTGGTTTGTGGCCTGGCGCATACCCAGGGAGAGCCAGGAATACCCACGAATACCCAGGCGACTGTGGCGCTTGGCCGCACTGGCAAATGTGATTAACTTTTAAGGTTCGTGAGTTCCTGCGAAGGTAACAAAAGGCTGAAAGACTCACCGCAATGGCATCACTGTCTGCTCGGGAAATATGTCCAGAAAGTTGGTCTCGCAGTCGTTCGGTTTGCTCAGCTTAAAGTCCAAAAACTTGAGGAAAATCTGTGCCACGGAAAGAGCAGGAAAAGGCACAGGGAGAGAGGATATGAATATGGACATGGAAGTTCCATTAAGCTCGCAGTTTGGACATTGACTGACAGAGACGCTCACCTTCCAGTTCTCCTTAACCTGAATGCGCCAAATGCAATCGAGCGCTATCTTGTTGCGAATGACCTGCTCGCGTATATCCGCTGGGACATCCGTTGAGTTGATGAAGCCCTCGTAGCCATCCTTCTCGATGGTGCAGTTGAGGTCGGTGCTGGGCGCCTCGCGATTCCGATCGAGGTACTCGTAGACGGCACTGAACCCCGTGTACTCGATGGTCTCATCCGAGTGGAAGTGCAGCCACAGGTAGCGCTCCTTGGATGTGATTTCCGGTGGGAAATCGGTGCCACAATATTTCCCAATCAGCGTGGAGAACCCATACTGACCGTCTCGTATCTGCAACAATGTTCCCCATAGATCTTTAATAATCCCTCCAGCACATGGCACGTGGCACGTGGCACGTGGCACTGAGACATTAGCACCAAGACTCTGTCTGGTGTGCATTCAATTAGGACTTGCAATTTTTGGGTTTTTGGGGACAGGCATAAAAAAGAGCGAGGCAAAAAACGAGACTGCCACGAGAGGGCGGAGCAACAAAAGTCGTAAAGGAAACAAAACGAAAACTCTGCCATGGCCAAAGCTCTGCAACTAAGCAAAGTTTATCGCTCCGCTCTCAATGCTTTTTTGTTCTTTCCTTTGGATGGCTGTGTATTGAGCTCGCAACAAAGTTCTCGGCTTTTTGTTGACCCCTTCGAGGCAGCCCGTTGCCTTTTACTTACTTCGAGAAAATCAAATTTGCACTCCTCCTTGGCCTCGATATTGAACGAGTTGCGAAAGTCCAGGCGTATGATTTGTCCCTTCGGCGCTGTAATTAGATGCAGACATCCAGGACATCAAGGAGCAGAGCGGGAAAGAGTCAACAGAGAGGCAACACGTTAGTCGACAAATATAAATTCAAACAGCGAGCCCTAGCCCGAGCTTATCCCAAGTCAAATGCCCCCGAGATGAGCGAGCGACTGATTAACAAGAGCTCAGCGCCAGCTCAAGTTCTGTGACAGACTGGAATGCACTTTGAGCCTGGCGGGAGATTAGTCCCCAGGGACTCTTAATTAAGAAGTGTGCCTCTCTTTTGCAGCTGGTTATTAGTTTGTGATTGCTTGCGCTCCTTTTCCTCCACTAAAAAGGATATAAAACCTTTGCCCAAAGCGCTCATGGATCGATCCTGGATCGACTGCTGCTGCTGCTGCACGTTCTGTCAAGCAACGCAAATTGTTTAAAAATTGCACACAATTTGGCCATTTACAAATAAATCGAAACTATTAAAGGCCGCCTGCCAAAAGATACATCCATCTAGGAGGGTTTTTCTGTTGTCGTAAAGGCTAGACCCAATCAGGGGCTCGTATCCGTTCGTATCTATGGACAAAATGAAAGCATCTGGGGACTCGTTTAGTGGGCTGCCTGAAAGGATGGCACACACATTCCTTCATTCATTCATTCATTCATTCATTCACACTCAGACTCAAGCTCACAGGGCAGAACATACACATTCAGCTAACGAATCCTTGGCATGAATCAATGGCAATGAGGCTCTCGCTCTCGCTCTCCCAATGCCTTTGCCTCTGCCTCTGCCTCTGAAAAAAACATTTTGTCCTGGACCCGCTCCTTCCAGTTTGCCTGTGAAATGGAACCTTTGTGGCCAATGTGCCATAACAACACACACACACACACATGCAGAGCGATTGCCAAGGCGTTAACACACACAAACACGAGCGAGCATAATGGAAATGGACAAGTAATGAAAGTTGGAATCACACAGAGAGAGAGCGAGGCAAGGACTGAGGCTGAGGATGAACCACACAAATGCCAAAGTGAGTGAGGTTTGAATGGGAATAGAATTTCGCATTGATTGGCCTTGAAAAACAAAAGGCAAGGAGAGGAACCAACTTAGGGTTAGTCCGCCAAGGGGTGCAGGATTTTTGAATTGCATTTGGCAAGGCAGAGCCATCCAATTGATGGTTGGCCGAACATGGATCAGGACGGGAAACTGCAGTCATAATTACGGGCAATCAATTGATTTGCAAATTTGGTATATCCTTTTGGGTTTGGCTTTGAAGAACTCTGTGCAGGACAATTGATTTGCACCACGCTCGATGCTGGCACACACCGCTTGCAATATGCCCAAATGCATTTCCTTTGGCAGATTGCTTTCCATTTCCCATTGTATAGTGCGAGCCGCTCTGGCAATCTGCTGGGGAAATGAATTAATCAGTTTCTGTTCAGTTAGACTAGAGCTGGGTTCTTCCATTGGATTGGATTCGATTGGACGCTGTCCAGCGGACAACAAAGAGACACATTTCCCTGTGGCACTGAATCTATGAACGATCCGTGCTAGAAGTCTCCTGACATAACTTTTAGCAGCTTGGCCATCCCATTTGGTTTCCTTTTGCTGGCCTGCCCTTGACTGTGGCACCCATCCACGACCAGCAGCCACACGGCACACGGCACACACGGCACACATTGCCATGCAAATAAGCAGCTGTCTCCGGCAATTCCTTCGCCCCTGCACACATATTTGTAGACAGTCTGTGGGAGATACTGGGACCGCTGATGCGTGCTTATGGAAAGTCAATCATTCGCTTTCAGGTTTTATCTGTCAGCTCTTGACTTTTGCAGTGACATTATTTTGTCTTAACTGACAAATGATTTGGCCTCTAAGCGACTTTAGATAAGCATTGGAGTTGACTCGATTCGATTCGATTCGAGATGAAGCTGGCTGCCTGGAGCTGTAGCTGGTAGCTGGTAGCTGAGGAAGAGGCACTGAAGCGAGTGCAGCTCAAATATGATGACTGCTCGGTCCAATCTCTTCCCTTTCCCCGTCGAGGAATTGAATTGTGCTGAAAGTGCCGAGGGTTGGCAGCTGGGAACGAACACGCCAACGCTTTTAAATGGCACACACACACACACACACGTTGGAATCTGTGTGGAGAATCTTACGCATCAGCGCCGTCTAATGCTGCCGCTCCAATGGGTGCCCCGTTCCCCCCACTAAGTTGCTCACTGACTGACTGACAGACAGACTGGTAATGTCAACAGCTAAGACTTGGCCAAAAGACTTTGCAATTATTTGCAGTAGCTCGGGCTCTGGCTCTGCCTCTGCTCGTCCTCGTGGCCAAGTGCTTGCCATATAAACTTTTACGAGGCCTGCACTCCTCCACTCCACATGATCGTATGCCACAGGAAGTTGACTGCGAATTGGCTGCCATCAGAGCTCCCATTTGTCTTTGTATCCAGCTACAGCTACAGCTACAGATACGGATACGGATACGAGTGTGCGGGGCTGCTGGTTATTTGCTTAGCCGCACACAATCCAGTAGCCAATGAATGAATGGATGAGGCACAATCCTGCAGCTCCGACTCTAACAACTTGCCACTTCCCTCAGTGCTGCAGGATTGAGCTGAGGCTCCGGCACTTGCCGAACGAATATTCGAATATCCTTGAGTTAATTCATTACTAAACTTCACTTGCTCTTGCGTGTAACTCGTCTGCTGCATCTTCACTCACCTGTTATTACGCGCGTGCAGTTGATGTTCTTGGGATACAGATTGGGATACTCGGGGCTGTACAGCTCATTCTTGGTGGGATCTCCCTCGACGAAGAGCCGGCAGCGATCCACCTGGTCCTCCTCCGCCTGCCGCTCGCCGCGACCTGCACGCGGTGGCCGTGCAATGGTCAGCGCATTCGGTTCCTCCTCCACAAGCAGCTCATCCTCCAGCAGGGCAGTTGAAGAGTGTCCGCTGTGCCCCACGGCAAATGCATTGTCTTGGTCGTAGCTCGATGGTTGGGCAGCCAGCCAATCCGTGCCGCTCGACACTGCCCCACTGGCACTGCCACTGGCCGCGACTGCTGCAAAGGAAATGGGAAAACGAAATGGAGTTCACCTGATTACCAGTGCGAGTTGATGGCAGCTGCGGCAGTAAAAGTCCATATAAATGTGGCTACTTATATAAGTTTTGTGTGTTCTGTCAGTCATAATGGATGGGGCAAAGGGTTGAGGCGGTTGGGTAACATTACATTTTATTATGATAATAATAATCATGAGCATTACAATTTATGCGGTGAGCGCGTTTCCCTCTTTTCTTAATAATGCGCATAACTTTTGCCAGAACAGCAGCAAAGGAGCTACAGAAAAGTGCCACCTGTGTGTGTGTGTGGGTGAAAAAGAGTGCAAAGCGAGTTGGCACATCCATGTGCATACTTTGGCAACTATACTTTTCGCATAACGCAACAGCGCACGGCACGCCACGCGGCCCCAAAAAGTAGGCAATGCAAACTGTATTAAAGCTTCAACTTGCCCTCTCGCTCCGCCTCTGCGCTCTCTGTTTGAACTACGCTAAGAGCGTAGCTGTAGCTGTAGCTGTAACTGTTGCTGCATCTAAACAACAATCGTTAAGCCCACACAAACACAAAGGCAAAGGCAAAGGCAGCTGCGAGAGCTTCACTGCCACGACAACTAAACAAAAGCCAACACAAAACTAGGAAAGCCAACGAAGCAGGGAGACTCTCTCTCTCTCTCTCTCTCTCTCTTTGGCAGCAGAATCCGAGTTTGATTTACAAAATTGATTCGAGTGTGGGCAACCCAATCTCAAGTGCCAAACTAATTGCTGTGGGGGCTTCAGTGCCACAACGACAAAAGCAACCGAATTGGTTGAGGGCTACTTTGGACATTCATTGGGAATGTAATTAATAGTTACACATTATCTTGAGCCAACAATTGCGTAACAACTGAAATGCAATGGATATTCATCATTCATGCGGTACAGTTGTGCTTAAAAGTTGCTTCGGATTTGTGCAGACACCCCCAGAGTGCTATTCCAGTGATCGTTGAACAGCGTTTTATGGGTCATACTTGGAGTGTGCTGGCGCAGACGTCGCAGTTGCCGGCACTCACTTGGCATACCCTCGGGCACATGTGAAGTGTTTGCCTCGCATTACATGGCTGCTAGTGCCTAATGATGTAGCAACAAATTTAATAAACATATTAAGTGTTGATGCTTTTGTAATCGCACAGGGCAGTGCCAGATGTTACTGCAGCTTCAGCTTACGCTTCGCTCCTTCTGTTCCATTTCTGTGTCTGCCTCTCCCTCTCCCTCTCTCAACCCTTTTATAAACACACACACAGAGAGAGAGAGAGAGAGAGAGATGTGCTCTGTGGCATCCATTTTGCCGTTAGTCAAAAGCTGCTTATTTCCGTTCTGGTTCTGCTTCTGGTTCTGCTTCTGCTTCTGGTTGTGTTCCCATTCCCTTTGCTGTTCCTGCTGCTGCTTTCTGCTGACATGTTCTCTGCTTGCAACTGTAGCAATTGTGTCGCAGTGTGGCACACACACACACACTTGCCACATCAATTAAATGCGAATGAGCATTAAAAATAATTTAAATAAGAATATAACAAAATTCACTTTGGCCTCTAATGAAGCGTGCACAACTTTTCTATCTTTCTAATTAAAATTGCAATAATTGATGGGATTTTCGTTGCACAAATTGTCGTTATTGCATTTTGGGTGTTTTGTTGTTTTGCTTTAATGGCATTCATTTCATTGAAACATTGCCATAAATTGTCAGCAGTTAAAGAGCAAGCGAAACTCACAGTTGGACCTGCCGCCAGCTATGCCAAAGAGTTGCGCTTTGACGAACTTTTATTTGATTAATTCTGGCCACTCCTGGCACACTCGTATTTGTTCTTGGTTCGGGTTGGCAGCCCGGGCAGGCCTCAGGGTTGCACATTCGATACACATTTGTTGTGCGTTGTTGTGTCGATTCCACAAGCTCAACTTTCAACCAGAACACTCTCTCTCTCTCTCTCTCTTGTTCGCTTTTCTCTCTATTTTGTATGCCAAGTCTGGGCCTTAGACTCCATCGCGTTGTTCATTTATATTCATATTTGCATATGTATGTCTGAGTCGTTGCATCTGTCAGAGTGTGTGTGTGTGTGTGTGTGTGTGTGTTCTGCCACACCCTTCCATCTCCTCCATCCTCTATCCTCTATCCCCTCTTGAGCACATTCCTCGGTGTCGTCCCCTCGTACGTATTTTATTCGTCGACTCAGTTATTTGCTTTAATACACTCAATAGACTTAACACATTTTCCACGCCCCCCCCCCCCCCCCCCCCCCCCCCCCCCCAATTGTTCTTCCTTCCTCCCCCAGCCCCTCGCGCCCCGCTCTGGATGCCGTATTTAATACGAAATAAAT